ACCCCCCCCCCCCCCCATGATTCCCCTCAAAGCACTACATATGCTACACTAGGAGAATGGGTATTCTCTATACTGGAAAATTGACAAGTGTATTCAAACCGCAGAATCTGCTATCAATTTCATGCAGTTGTTTTGGGGTTTGCTCTGAATTTAGTCGCTTAGGGCTTGTATCGGTACAAATATATAAAGGAAACTCTTTTTGGAGAGAGTATGTGTGGCTGAAGCAAAATAGCTGAAATTGCTTACAGCATCTTTAATTTAAGGGAATTTGCTCATAGCCTAATGGGAATGATGGGAAAATTGAACCAGTAATGCCAAAATCACTGTCTGTTTCAAATATGTTGACACTGTTATTCAGATACATGGAGGCTTACCTCTAGGGTTGGTAAGTGTGGCCTCCACGGCCTTGCCTCCGTCCCCGCAGCGCGTCTCATCGTAGGGAAGACACTGATCGCCTGTGCCTGCCACCAGCTCTAGGTTCTTTGCTACATCCTTCACTGTGTTCAGAGATTTCACTTTAAACACCTTCCTGCTGCTGGTGTCCGAAAGGTACAGGGCCCCCGAAACGGGACTAGTAGCCAGGTAATATTTGTGCGCAGGACTATTGCTAAAAAAATATCAAACAAACAAGGAAAAACAATTAGCTGTGATGTAAAGGTGTATGTAAAGTACTATTTGTAAAATATGTTTTCAATTTCAGATTTTTATTTATTAAATGTATTTATTTAATTATTAAATGTAATTTAAGTGCTGAAGCCATTCTACAGTACACTGTCATGGCTAAAGTGACATGTTGGCCATTATGCACAGCGAAATTATCCGCTTTATAAATAAACAAAACACAACAGCGGGCTTGTGAATCATGTGTCACATTTAAATCCATGCATTACAAACAGCTTCAGAGGAAGGAATTTGCAGTGAGCATTTATGTACGTTGCAAATAAGAATCAAGAGTTGACAGATCCCCTGCCATAGCTTGAGATGTTTCTGCCATGTCCTCGCCGCATCAATCTTTTACTGTATGCATCTACTCTCATTCCAAATAAAGAAACGCATGTAGTGTGTGTAAAGCCTGTGGTTAATGCAGTCGGCCCAGCATCTAATGTGCTGCCAGTACGCATTCAAATAGGTATGCCACCAAGCCCCCTACAGGGAAACTTTCTTCTGGAGATGCATGTGGTCTACAGCCGTTATCTAAACACATTATGTATTCCTGGGGCAAAAATGGCCCACAGGCCAAAAACACAGTCCATTACATGGTAAAGCTGGACAGTCAAAGTCATCCCTCACAACCACACAGGAGCCTAAAGAACATGAAAGCCCAACAGAATGTCTCCAATTTGGCTTGAGAGGGTCTCACTGGTGGGAAAAAAAGAGTTTCCTCTCTATAGTATACTAATCACATTCTGAGAAAACGATAGAAAGTCTAGGCACCTGGACTGCAGTTTTTACAGTTTTCAAGTTGGTTTGTGAAATGCTCTAATTATACGTAGATCTGCTGATGGTGGTCAAAGACCGCTTGCGGTGAAATATGGATGACTTGCACAGGTTAGTGCTAGATCATAACATTTTTTTCTCCTAAAAATTTTACTTCCGGCTCATGCAATTTCCATCAGCTGAGTACAGTGGAAAACAAAGAATTGCTGTATTGGCTGATTTACTAGGCTATGTGTTGCAGAAAAGGTAGAAATCAGAATGTTCCACTCAAGATAAACGTTAGCTTTTGCAAAAAATGTGTGAATTTACAGCAGTTGTTCACGACAGAAGAAAAAAAAAGTGTGAAATGTTCTCGCCTTTCTGGAATAGTGTCTTCCTGGAGGGGTTAATTGTTTTTGAACAAAGTGAGAAAGGTCACAGCATGAGAACCAAAAATGTTAAGTGAAAAGCATTCTTCATGCTAAGACACACATCTGCCAAAAACTATCACCGCTAACAGCCAACTTCCGTTTAGCATTTAAAAACTTGAATGAAAATGTAAATGGGAAATGATATTTAACACAGCAAAAACATTAATTGAACAATATATTCTTTGTACAAAGTGCCACTCTGGCTGTGTTAGTACCCTGATAGCACACGTACATGACGGAGACGTCTATTTGAAGTGTGCATTTACATCTGCAAGACAGATGTAAATGCTCATCTGCAATAAGACTAGGATGCTTCCTATCAGATGTCAAATAGACGTTTAGAAAATGTCTTTAAGATGTTTATGATTTAGAATATATGTAAAACTGATATGTTAAAGATTTCTATCAGATGTTTGTACACAGCAGACACTTTCCAGATGAAGCGATCTTTAACACGTGCGCTATCTGTGTATGCTAGTGATAACTATCCGCAGCAAATGCTACGTGGCACAACCAACTTGTCCAGATTCAAAACCCAACAAAGTGAGAAAGGTCAAAATGTTGAGAACAAAATGTTATGTGAAAAGCTTTCTTGGTAGAGTAAGATGACATGCTTGTGCTATGACACATACCTGCTACAAACCATCATTGCTAACAACCAACTTGTCAAAGGACAAACATTCAGAACTTAAAGTGAGAAATGTCACAGCAATTGAGTGAAAATGTTAAGTGAAAAATATTCTTTGTAAAAAGTGGAACTGCTGGCACTATGGGACTAGTACTCTCAAGATAACTAGCCACAGCAAATGCTACGACACTTATCTGCTAAATACCATCACTGCTAACATCCAGTTTGTCTAAAGATTAGCATTCAAAACCAAACAAAGTGAGAAAGGTCACTGCAAGAGAACAAAAATGTTCTTCATAAGATGAAAAGCCTGAGCAAATGCTACAACACGTGTCTGCTAAATACCACCATTGCTAAAAACAAACTTGTCTTAAATCCTTATAAAAAACAAACTACCAAGATAGTGGACACCAAGAGAATGAATAGATTAAGTGAAAATATTTGCTGTAAAAAGATCCACATCACCTGTCTATGGTAGCACTCTAGAGATGACTAGCTGCAGTGAATGTTATGACACACATCTGCCAAATTCCATTTACTAACACCAAATTCTTTAAGGATCAGCATTCAAAACTGAAGAGTTAAGGGTCACTGCAACAGAACAAAAACATTCAGTGTTCTTCATAAAATGATTTCTGCCATCAATACTAAAAACCAGCCTGTCTCAGGATCCACATTCAAAATCTTACATGGTTAGAAAGGTTGCCACAGTAGAACAAAACCATGACGTTAAAAACACTCACGGCTGGTAGAGCTAGGCTAGAGATGACTAGCCATAGCAAATGCTATAACACACATCTGCCAAATACCATCATATTCAACACCTAGCCTGTCTTCAGATCAGCATTCAAAACAGATTAAACAAATCCCAGGCGTGTTCCCCTGAAACGCCGTAGCTGTTAGTGCCAAATCCCAGTGGTCCAATGCGAGAGTGTGGAAAGGAATAGCGGCAGGTCTGCAGCATTGTCAGCTTTGATCTATTATTCAGCCCGACATCTGACCTTCTAGAAGATCGCTGGAAACAGGCTGCTTCGGTTGACCAGGGGCTTGGCATGTCACTATGTGGTTGCTGACCATGTTGAATGATGTCCTCGGTTTGGAAGGAAGGTAAAACAGGTTTGTCAAGAAAAATCTCAATCCCATTTTGCAAGGGGGCTGTGACCCTTCGGGTAGATGCTTTTCAGTTCCAGCAGTATCTGTGTTGTACTTTGTGTTATTGGAGGCACACAGCATTGTGCTTTCTGTGATGAGGAGAACACCCTGACCTTCATAGGCTCCATCTATATTCAATAACCAAAGTTAGTCTGGGAAGGATAATTGGATTTTTCAGGATGTTGCTGTGACAATGAAGGTGAGCGACTCTTGTGGAAAGGGGGTCAGTGGGTATGTCAGAGAGATCATGGTCTAGCCTTATTCTCTCGTCTGCGTGCACATACATAAACACTGAGATGCCTATTTGTTTTAACTCAACAGTAATGACTGTTCTTTTCTGGTTGCAAATATGATTTTGACCTTTTCAGCAGTAATTTTTACAAAGGTATATTTCTAAAATGAATTGTTGGAACATGTTCGGGTAAGTGATTTAGCTTGTATACCCCAAAGCACAACTTTTACAATCAAAAGAACAACACAAACCTGGTTCAAGGCCGATAATACAAAGCAGCACCAACAAAAACACTACAAAGCATTTAGTGGCCCTTAGGACAGAAACAGACTTTAAGAGAAACACAAATGCTTGGTTACTTGTCAGACTGTTTGATGGATAGAAATGTGTAAGATCCATTTTGAAGGCGAAGCAGGGGCATTCAGTCCTCATCCTGGAGATTCTGCAGAGTTTAAGCTGCGTTCACGCCATGTCATAACTACCGCAATTCCAAGATGACAACATGTTCTACTAGGAGTTGTTTTTATTCTACAAGTTCCTGTGTTTCTATGTCCACACTGTGATGCCACACCTTGTCTTGACGGAATCGTCCACAGGATCAAGGATGTAGGGTTAAATGGAGACTTCATCATGAAGGATAGGGCATTTTTGAAGCTGGCAGGTGTCCTGAATTTACCCAACCTCTCGCCAAGAACCCGCTCATATCCTGTCAGTCATACCTGAACATCATACTGTTAGCCGTCATGCTGACGCCTGTCAAAACCCACAGCTGGTTTTGCCACGCATCTCATATTAAGGGTTCATAGCACCACAGGCAGGATGTGTGTTATATTTGAAAGCTTAGATCGAAGTTTGATGACTGATGCTTTTTTTTCCTCGATACCACGCTGCCATTTGTCAAATCAAACATGTTAACGAACTGTGTATTCAGATCCGACGGCGCTTTGAATGTGTAATTTGTCATAGGGTGAAATATCACGCTGTATTGTGGGTAATGCAGCATGGGTATTTCTAATAGGGAGGGGTGGGTAATTATATTCTTTAAGGAAGCCGAGTCCCCTGAGGGTGAGAAATTTTTAAAACGCTGATGCGTTATGCGGCTTATGCTAAGCTGGTAACCGCTTTTCCATCTTCCTGTCTGACATTTCAAATTATGTGCCCTGACTCTGGTTTCCTTAACGTACACAATTATTTAAGCATTTTTTTTTCTGTTGCGGTAACCCACTTTGAGAGTTTACCCATGCATCAAACTGGTCTCCAGTGATCTACAGCACTATTTCAAAGCTCAGTCGTAGCACTGCCCGTTTTACTGCTATCTGGAGAGGATGTGTTTTAATGCACTCCTTGGTCCACCTTAATTTACGAAAAACACATGTGGTGCATTCCACAGGCGGCCACAAAAGCAACAGTACATCAAAAGACTGTACAGAGTGTTTAGCTGATGTTCATTCATCATAATAACTGGAATGACTCTTTAGAAAAGCTCTTACCTATGCCTGAAATCTTTATTTCTGTATTTAGTGAGAGCAGCATGAAAAGAAGAAAGTGGGAAAATAGGTTAGCTTAAGGAGTTAGTACTTAATTCATGTACAGAGAAAAGGTTAGAGTGAAAAAATTATACTACTTCAGATGGTTCTACAAACATATCTACTATATTCATGAATAGAAATATGAACAAAAAGGATTCCCTCACAGCACACATATTATATGCTGCTTAGGCAAGCGATTCTCAACTGGTGGGTCACAAGCCAAAATGGGTCACAGGTCTGTCCTAATATGGAAAAACAATGCTTTAGTAAACAATAAAATGTTATATTTGAACATATTAAAATTATTATTATTATTATTGTGTTTTGCGTCACTAAAATCTGGGTCCTAAAGCAAAACCAGTTGAGAACCTAGACGTCTATTTAATTTGTGATTTTCATCTGGAAATGTCATTTGTAAAAAGTTTGTTCATCCGCAGTACATCTCCAAAATGCATCCAGGTGGATGTTGTGGGTTTATGAGTATATGTGGATTTCCTCTTTAAAAAAGATTTATCAAATGACCGTGGCCAATAATTAAGTAATGCTTTCTAGATGATTTGCTCTTAAACAGACATCTTGGAGATGTATGCATGATTATTAGATTCAAAGGAAAGGTGAATGAAATTTTTAGCAAGGTTCGTATTCATCCTATACATTTCTGAGCAATAGCAATTACATTTAAAGAAATAGTTTACCCCCAAAAAATGAAAATTCTGTCATCATTTATTCTCTTCTGTGGAACAAATCCTACTCATTGCGATCATTAAAGTCAGACAGGTTTGGAATGATGGTGAGTAACCAACAACAACAACATTTTTATTTTTGGGGTAAACTATTTCTAATAAAGTGAAAGGCCAATAAATCGGTGTATCAGTCGTTCATTCGTTTTTTGATTTAATATTGAAAGTAGAAAAATTAGAAAACGGCTCCTTTTTCGTTTTTTCATTTTTTTCTCTCCAAAAAACGAAAAACAAGAAATCCGCTTAATTTTTAATTTTTCGTTCAGGGGTAGAAAAATGAATACACAGCTTTAATATTCGATTTCTACATGTGGGCGGGAATTAAATGCCACTTTCTGCTGATTGGTCAGATGAAGATCAAACCGTGCCGTGACTGCAGTCATCAGTTTTTTTGCAGTTCTGCGCATCAGAATAATAGTCCGCTGCTGCTGAAGGTGTATGTAATTCTTAACGCCTTTATTGCAACTACATTTCATCTTTTTTTCATCAAACAACCAGACTAACGAATAGCTCGACACAATCTGTACAGAGCTTAGACAGGGCTTTCTTCTGTGTAGACCAGCGGTTCTCAGGGGGCCCGCGTAATAATTTGCATTACCGTATCCTGCATAAGTGTCCTGCTGGCACTTGCCCAGTTAAAGGCAGAGAATGGTGACTTTCACTTTTTTTGTATGTTGTAAAATAATCATACGCAACTTGTGGTGTATATTCCAAGTGTTCTGAATGTATACTGTAGGGTTTGGTGAGAAAGTTATTGAAAATCTTGCGTTGCAGTCCTGTGTGCGAGTGCGCAGCAACTCGCGCCATGCACAAGCACATATTCTTATGAGATATCAATTTTAATCAATTTTAATAAAACAAAAGACTACATTATAAAACTCAGAAGAGTATGTATCTCTGTTCTCCGGTTGTTCTTGCGTGAACGTTATAGGCCTATCATATTGACCCAAGTCAATGCATTATTCTTTCCTTTTTATATTAGTGTTTAAAATATTTAATTTAAAATTAATTAATTAAACAAACAAACTTACTGGGCGACCAGGGTAGGCTATGACAGCCATCATATCATACCCTGCCATGCCCAGCTGATGATGCAAAGCATAGTATTTATATCTACACAGAAGAAAGCCCTGTCTAGGATCTGCCCCGGTACAGATTGTGTCGAGCTATTCGTAAGTCTGGTTGATTGGTGAGAAAAGATTACATGTAGTTGCAATAAACGCATTAAGAATCCGTACACCTGCAGCAGCGGAGGACTATTATTCTGCTGCGCGGAACTGAGGAAGAACTGATGATGGCACGGTTTGATCTTCGCTGACCAATCAGCAGAAAGGGGTGTTTAATTCCCGCCCACATGTAGAAATCGAATATTCAAGCTATGTATCAATTTTTCCAATTCCAATAGCATCAATCCTGTGCTTTCCAAGTACTGATAGTCAGATACCTTTTGGTTTGTGAGCAACTCATATAACAGGATCTACAAGCAACATGTCATTTTGGTGGGTAGGCGAATGTTTGTGTATCTATGCACATGCAGAATGCCAAACCTGAGCTCTAAGACACTTGTGACATTTCCTGTGGTGAAGATCCGACGGATGTAGTTGAAATCCCCCACGTACAGACTGCCATCCGACCCACAGGCTAAAGCTACAGGTGCGAGCAGCTTATTTCCGTCCGCCAGCCCATTGCAGCTTGGACAGGAGATACTGCGCCTCCGCCCGTTACCCATGATGCTTCCGATGATTGGGGGTTGCTGGGAAATAAAGATGTTCTCGCCTTTACCCTTGTGCAGGATACCTGAGTGACAAAGAGAGAGACGTCATAAGTATTTTGCCCATTCATTGTAATTTTCCCAAATCCATTCAATTCAATTTTATTTGTATAGCGCTTTTCACAATGCAAATCGTTGCAAAGCAGCTTTACAGAAAATTAAAGTTTCTACATTATATTTAGTAATAGCTTATCAGTGGTGACTATCTCCTCAAGTTGACGTCCATATGGCAGAAATGTAAAGAATAGGCTTCACTCTGCAGTAAATCAATAGGTTTTATCGGATATGAGAAGCGGAGACTTTAAAGCTGATTCAGTTCTGCTAAAAAATTAATGACATTAAATTTAATTGTATGGAGCTTTTCTCTTTCACAGAGCTATGGGACGGATGTTGGCGCTTGAGAAAGTATTTAGCTAAATAACCAACAGGATCGAGATGTGCTAAACGGAACTGAATTCATTTATCGAAAGGAGTTATTTTTCACTCGCACAGCCAGATGCTTCTGTATAGAAACCAGCTAAGTGAAGGTCCACAGTCACAGAATGAAAGACAACTTCCTCTTATTATCAGTCAATCTGAATCTCCACGGCATGCCTCAATGAATCTCCAGTGCTTAACAGCTCACCGCAAATGCCATTCAAAAGTGGCAGAGTGGCAAAGATTGCGAAACTCAATTTTCAGTGATTTTCATTGTGCACTGTTTTCTCTCTAAGCACCTGTTGAATCGTGCTGTGTTTTGAGAGATGCTAAATTACAGCGTTTTCAATCCGTCCATGCTGATTGGCTGGAAATGCAGGTGGGTTTTCTAGAGCTGATGCAAAGGCGTATTCTCATCAAGTTTGAAAATTCACCGCAAATTTCACTGTGTAAAAGGCTTTCAACTGAAACTTCAACTTCATTTCCTTGAAGCTTTAAAGCAAATCTGGCAATTTAGGAATACATTTACCTGCTGGTAAAGGTTTTTGAAAAATAAAAATGATTGATCAGTAACATATAACCTTTTGCACCCAAAAGTATTCCAGATAAATGTGTAGGAGATGTTTAAAAAGTTTTTTGTAAGTTGAATGGGTTGTGCATTAAAGCATGTGAAAAACCGGAGAGCGATACACTTTCTTTGTAAAATACATTTTCACAAAACGTCCCAGGTTACGTATGTAACCATGGTTCCCCCGAGGGAACTCGAGCTGCGTCGGAAAACGCTAGGAGTTCGACTGATTACACATATGATTCAGAGCTTGGTATCGCTGAAGGCGTTCCCCTAGCGTTTTCCGACGCAGCTCGAGTTCCCGAAGGGGAACGTAAACTTCTAGCATACCCTCATGAAATGTTGTGGCATGTTCGTTGTGAATAGTATTAGGGCCATTTAGTCTGGCCACTTGGTCTGGCCATTTAGTGACAGACCAAGCTGCCACCTGCACTCCTAATACTTGTGCTGCAAGTACGCCTCATTTACTGAGATAAGAGCACCTGTGCGCTGGCAAAAATAATACTTGACAGGAACTGAACAGAGCAGTTTACACAATCCCTGATTTCAGAGACAATTCAGCAGCAGTAGGAAAATTGACCTGTTCAACTCAAATAAGGTCCTGTCATACAGATATCACCACTAAACTGACTCGAGCTGCTTATAGCTGAATTGAACTTTTCATAATTGAACTTTTCAAAACATTTCAAAATGAAATTTGAATCTGTATTGTATAAATGTGATAACATCCACTCCAATCAAAGTTCAGTCCTCTCAAGCAACAAGTGTTCATCTTTAGCAAGCAGTGAAACATTTATGAGAATTTCCACAATGGGGAAAACTCAGCAGATCTGATCATTAATAAGCAACTGTGTGTTTGTGAGCATTTGAATAGCTTTCATGCTTCTGCATGTACTAACTCACCACTTTGGATATTCAGAGCATGATGTTTGTCCACGCTCCAGCTGCCCAAGTTGGACGCAATGGTCTCGTATCCCTGCAGGACGGCTGTCCGCTTCTCCCAGAGGATCAGATCCGGGCAGGATTCGTACTCGAAACCCACGGACACTAGTGGGAGTGAAGAATAAACACATTTGAACTTGAGGACGTCAACAGCCCTGAGCAATGTGACACTGACAAACTTCATTCCCCACTCACCGAACGCCTCAGACAGCCCATAAACTTTTTGGCTGTAGACATCTGCCTTGTCCCAGACAAAGTCATAGGAGAGGTTAGGCGCAGCTGAGAACCACTTCCTGAAGAGCCTTCCCTCGACGGCCACCATGAGGTGCACCTTCATCAGGCTGAACGGGATGGTGGAGTGGGTCAGGGAGATGCGCAGGAGGGACTTATACCCCGACGTCCTGCTGCTCAGGTAGTTCAAACGTACATCAGTACCTGGGATCCGCACTTCCTCCTGGAGGGTCTGGAGAGAGAGAGACAGGTGAAAACGTTAATATTAGTTACAAGAAAACAGAGCAAACTGTAACAAATCTGCTCATTTTGTGGGAGATGCACCCTGCTGAGAAGTGTTTGCATTATTTAGCATCTCCAGTATATACGCAAATGAGAATGAATTAATTTTTTCACAGCAGACGTTTTATTATACAGTGCAAAAATACTAATTATTGGGTGAATCTAGGCCATATTTCACCTCAAAGAGAAAGAAAAAAGCTATTATATAAAAAAAAAACACTTGAAAAGATTTTGTTTTTAAAGAAGTCTCTAGGCTCACCGAGGCTCCGTTTATTTGATCAAAAAGACTGTAAAACAGTAATATTGTGAAATATTATTACAATTTAAAAGAACCGTTTCTACAGTATGTTAATACACTTTAAAATGTAAGTTATTCCTGTGATGGCAAAGCTGAATTTTCAGCAGTCATTACTTACACTCTTCAGTGTCACATGGAATCTTATATTGGCCATACTGGCTTATATAAGCTTTTATGATTAATATTTTTGTGGAAAGCAAGATACATCATTTTTCCAGCATTCTTTGACCAGTACCAGCGACACATGCGAGTCCAAAAAGAAAAAAAAGAAAAGAAAAGAAAACAGAAAGTGACACTAAATAAAGAATATTTTGTCATATATCAGATAAATGATCACACATCAGGCCAGTAGCCTCTTATGGTTACCTATTAAAAAGAAAAAGTGTTTAAATGAGTCTTTTTCCACTTGCAGACTTTTAGCCCTGATGAAGGCCTGAACAGTATTATTCTTATTAAACAGTGATAATTAATAATTAATTATTAAACAGTATTATTCTTTTGCGTTCCACTTTCTGATTTAACCTCTCCACTCCACAAATGTTGCTGGTACTATTCAAAAATATTTTTGTAATTTTGTGAAATTACACTAGAACAACCACAGTTCCAGCCAAATCTTCTTAATATCATTTATTTTTATTCCCTCTTGATTTGGGGTTGAAATGTGACCCAGAAACCTTAAAATTACTCAACTATCATAACAAGTGAACAACTCACTCAGTGTAAAGCAATGCATACGTCTAAGTCACACAGGCATCATTAACAACGCCTTAGTGGCTCAGAGGTTTCTCATTGTTCACTGAAGAGCTCTCATTAACTCTCAGCGTATCACTCCTTTATCACAGTCGAGCACAAAGCTGACCAATAAACACAGCCGATCATTACTGCGTCAATAAACACTGATAAGAAAATCTCTTCCATAGACGTTTCCGTTTGTAAACCTGTGAAAACTCTGTATGTGGGTGTGTGTAGGTGCACATGTAAGTGTGTGTGAATAAACCGCCTCAACATTTGGGATGGGACAGATTTGTGCCGATATTAATAGCCCAGACAGCACAATGCTTGTGAGCCTGACTCATTTATCTTATAAACCAAAGACGACGACAAAATAATTAGGAAGGTTGCACACAGGTACAAGTAGAGCAATCAGAACTCAAACGCACACACACACATGTATATATATGTGCATATTAAAATATATCTATAGACACACTTGGATGCAATGAAATTAACATACACAAACTTAAACACATAAAATCTTGATGACAGTCCCTCAAATCCAAAACAGGGATATTTTTTTTTGCACAAACTGCAAAGCTCATCCAGGAGTCAGACTCAAAAAGCTTCCATGCTGCTTTTGTCTAAATGTAATTATCGTTCTTCAGAAAATGTCTGGCGTAGTAAATTGGACTGTGTATCTCTGCCCAATTACACACAGGAGATAAAATCACAGGACTGCCACCCGAGACAGAGCCTCCTCCATTCCCTTCTGATGTACATTTCCCAATATCTGCCCCTGCTGTCTATCAGAACATCATTATGAACCGGCACTAGTCTGGAATCAATCGTGGCAAACTACCACGTTTTTCATCTGTCTGAGATAGCCGTACAATTTTGAACAGTCTGTAACTGTCAGATTAAACAAGAATCAGACTTTTTAAAAAACATTAGTCTTAAAAGTTAAAATGAAGACAAAAATACAGTAAAAAAAATCATAAAAACAAGCTTTTTAAACACACAAAATGGCATGCAAAATGTAATTAAATTCGCGATACAACTGCAATAGCAACAGATGTATTGTGACGTACATCCGAGTGAAAGAGTTTATAGGAAAGGAAAAAAAAAAATAGGGCGGGGACTTTATCTATTGGTTGTTGACTGGACAGTGGTAGATCAGAATGTGAGCATACAGTTGATTGTAAGTCAAGTAAGGCGGAGTTTAAAAGGACAAAACTTATAGAAAAATCTGGAAGCCTGTCATTTAACTGGAATTGTGAAGTACAAAAAAATTAAATATATGTAGGCATAAATCGCCTACAGTAAGATCAATAACATGGATTAAGAATTTCGAATTTTTATTTCAAGCCAACTTTAACTTCATAACGTGTTGTATTTTTAATTGAAACAGACTATTTAGTGGGGTAAATTATATAGGGAGGGATTCAGTCTACTCAGATTCGATTGGTTAAACTTTAATAAATGAAATTGGACACTATTGGTCAATATAATTTTGCCCCACCCACATGTTTTTGGTTATATTAACAGATCAATTGTACACATTATGAATTGTAACATATTTTTCACTTCCTCTGTATAGCTTATCACCTGAATCTCTGGAACGACATTGCCCCTCTCGACGCAGGTCCCGGCAAACGCCATCAACGGGGCAGGCAGGACGATGGGCATGGGACGGGTGAAGCTGCTCAGGTCACAGCTGGGGATGTCATTGACCTCGTGTCTCATCACAATGGTGTCCATGACAAAGAAGCGTTCCCACGGCAACCACAAGGTGTGCTCCTGAGTGATGAACGGAGCGCGCTCAAACCGCAGGCCTACGGCCACGCCCCCGTTACTCACCAAGTCGAAGCTGAAACAGAGAGAGCATGTTTGGTTAGCTATTGAGATAAAGCCATTCATTAATTTTCAATAATGTTAGAATACAGAGTAGTTGTCTTTCAGAAATTTTAGCTTTGCAGTTGTGTTTATTAAAATCTGGGTTGGTAACCATAAGGTTGTTGGTTCAAGCCCGACAAGGAACTATCCATTAACAATCACCATTGTCCCCTATAGTAAAACCTCTACCCTAAAATTACTCTTTCCCTTATGTTATGTTGCAAACTGACCCATTTTGAGTTGTCACAAATAAAGGCTAACTTATGATGTTTTAACACTCTGATGTGTTGTTGAATGTGCATATTATGATTATGATATTTGGAGGTTAATTTGACCTGCATATTTCATCATTAATGGCAGCTACACAGACCCAAAATGAAAACATTTTTATGTATGTCAATTTCTCAACTACCCGCTGAGGGTACTTACATTTATGCCTTTGGCAGATGCTCTTATCCGAAGAATCTTACACTGCATTCAAAATGTATGTTTTTACTAGTTCATGCATGTTCATTCTTTAAGAATCAAACCCATGATACTGATGTTGCTAGCGCCATGGCCCACAGTTTGAGCTTCAGGAAAGCACACAAAACAAATGCTTTTTCACACATCTTTTATTTAAAATGTTATATA